GTGCCCATCTGCTGCTCCTCTTTGTTCCACTGACCCCTCTGGGATCCTCCCTCTTTGCTCTCAGGCAAGGGAAGGACAGATTTCTCCTTTCCAGAAATCTGAACATCATCCTGACTCAAAATCATGTATTTCTGTGTGATTCTTACGGTCTCTCGTGCCCCCATATGGTAAAATACCCCATTACAGAAAACTGGAACATCAGATTTCAAATCTTAACACAAGATACACGTAGAGGAATGTGCAAGTGACAAGTGATACCTCAAAAACTCTGCTTATTTAATTTAGCAGCCCAGGTTAATTTAATCAATGTGTGATGTGGATCATTCATTCTCAGAAATAACATTGAACTCATCACGAGACTCTAGATATCCCAGCAGGATAATGGAGACAGGGTGCTACGTACCCTGAGGAGGCATTGCTGATCCCGTGATGTTCATGGTGTGATTTCACACCAGCATTCCAAGGTTACTTACTTCTCACACTCTGTGTCGTGACCAACAGTCAGCTCACAACCTGGGAAGATTTTGGCTGCCAGCACTGGGGAAATGCAGCACAGGCCAATGGGCTTTTTGGCAGCGTGGAATGCCTTCAGGACATCCTCCACCTCTTTGGAGACGATGCAGTTCTTGCCTTGGGTGGCCCAAGTACTCAGGTTTTTAGCCACTCCAAAGCCACCTGAGAGAAGAGAAACAGATTAGACCAGAAGATTCATGCTCCAGGGCAGGAATTTTCAGGTATTTTGTAGTAGAATGCTAAAATGGATTTGGTGGATGGCAGCATTTGTCCAATGTTGATAAAAGAACTAAAACCAGACAAGCTGAACCTTTATGAGCTGCCTGCCAGGAGATGTGACATCAAAGCAGCTTCCTGGCTTCCCTCCAGAACTGGAGCAGAGAGGTGTCAGTGCTCTGTTGGGTACTGTGTTTCACCCATGAGCTCTGTTCTGAGTTATGGTGGAACATGCTGACAGGTTTTCACTTGTTTCTTAATCCTGGCTCCAGGCCTAATCCATCCCCACTGAAACCACGTGGACATCCTTTCACTGAGGATGGATTGTCAGACCCACCAAGCTTCCTGCTTTTGAGTCACCCCCCCTGTGTCCCAGCTTCTTCTTCTCCCAGTAAGGAGGTAGGCATGTTGGTGAGGGAAGGGATAGTTTTCTATCCAGTACAGAAAAGCTCAGTAGATGGTACAGAGGATAATTCAATTGGCAGTTATCTGCCCCATCCTCTCGGGACAAGCTTCTGCATTGCCCTGTGCTCTTCTAACAGAAGTCTAAACTAGTGTGCCAGTGCCAGCACAGATGGAAGATGTCTGTCCTTCCAGCCCCTCTTTACAGCCCATCTTCTTCCCCAGTGGCTCTACCCAGTTCCTCTCCAACCCACAACTCCCATGGCTTGTGGCACATCTAAGCTGTTCCCAGGCTGCTCCCAAGAGACCCCACGTGCCATCCTACCTGGTATGATGAGGGCATCCAGCCCCTTGACATCCAGCTTAGCCAGATCCTTGATGTTGCCTCTGGCTATTCTGGCACTTTCAACCAGCACATTGCGCTTCTCCTGAGTCGGCTGTCCTTTCACATGGTCCACCACGTGCATCTGGTCCACATCAGGAGCATAAACCTCTGCCTGGGGAGGGAGAGGAAGGGTCTATTATCCTTCAGTCCTGTATGCTAAGTATGTTAAAAATCATAGGTAGTGGATGGAAGTGCTTGAGTTATTCTGTTAGGAGAGAACTTTGCTGGTGAATGCAGTGTCCTTCAGGCTCACCTGCATCTGATGGTGGCATCAGGAAAGTTATTGCCATAGGGAGGAGAAAGAAAGAAGGGTCTTTTGTAGCTTCTGCACAGGAACATTTACCCTGACCTTAAAGGAATGAGGGTGGTGTTGGGTGAAAGCAGAGAAGGTAGCCTACACTGCTTGTTTGGGGGCCTGAAGTGCTGGAGTGACTCCTTTCCTTCCTAGGAAGATGAGGTGTCCCAGGAGCTGTTGGTGAAGCCATTTCTTAGAGGTTTCCATCTGCATCCCAAGCAATCACCTTCACTGGGGCAGCCCCAGCCCCAGTCCAGAGGAGGGCAACAGAGCTGGTGGAAGGGCTGGAAGTCCTGTGAAGAGCAGTGAAGGACTTTGGGATTGTCTAGTTTGGAGAAAAGGACGCTGAGGGGTGACCTCTTTGCAGCTTCCTGAGGAGGACACGTGGAGAGGGAAGTGCTGATATCTTCTCCCTGGGATCCAGTGATGGGATGCATGGGAATGGTTCAGAGCTGCTCCAGGGAAGTTTAGACTGGGCATTAGGAAGGATTTCTTTACTGAGAGGCTGGTCAAACACTGGAACAGGCTTCCTAGAGAGGTGGGCAATGCCCCAAACCTGTCATTGTTTAAGAGGAATTTGGAGAACGTCCTTCATAGCATGGTTTAACTTGATCAGCCCTGAACTGGAGAGGCAGTTGGACTAGATCATCATTGTAGGTCCCTTCCAACTGAAACAGTCTAGTCTATGCTATGCTAGTCCCTGTTTCCTCAGGCAAGCATGACCACAAAATAAAAGGAGGTTGAAATAACACCCGAGTTTCCTCCACTTGAGGTCCCTGCTGATCAAGGGATGAGTGCAGGATGGAGCTCCAAGCCTGCCAGTTCAGGGTATGGCAGGAGAGAAGCAATAGCAGCAGCTCCAGGAGAGAAAGAAAGGCAAAATTCTAGATGGTGAAGGAAAGGTTTGAACAAGTCTCAGCTTTAAGTCAGAGAATGCACACTTTGAAAGATTTGGAATGGGGTGGGCTGGCTCTGCAGCACAGGTACATCCCCACTGTGCCTTTGTATTTAATAGAGCAATTCTGATTTGCAGGAGAACAGCTTTGACCCAGGTTTGTGGGTGGCTCAGAGCTGAGGGTAACATTAAAAAGGGCTTCTCTCCCTCCTCCTCCAGTCTCGCAGAGTGGCTATCGTGACTAATGGCATCTTAGAGCGGCTGCTTGAGCATTGCCTTTCATACCCCTGTTCAAGTTCAACTCACAAGAACTTGTCTATTTGCAGTTCTATCTTCAGGGGTTTAAAAAGATGAATTTCAAACAGACTAAAACAATAGTAGACTTTTAAACTGAAATACCAAAGCAGAAAAGAGGAAGTGCAAGCCAAAAAAAGAGTAGAGAGTGCATTTAGGAAAGTTAGTTGGGAGTTTGGATACACTGAACGCAGAGCACCGAGCCAATCCTCTGGTACAGCAAAGCTGGGAGAGCAGAGCAGTGTCCAGGGAGCCCCCCAGGCTCAGTCTAGCAAAGCAGTGTCCAGGGAGCCCCCCAGGCTCGAGCAGCTCCTACGCTGAGCCGTTTGCTTTGACTCCAGCCTTGTGCTTTGCAATTACCCTCACAGCAACGAGGAGTTGGGATTTCTCCAGCAAGCTGCAAAGTTCCTTAGAGACAAGTAACTTCTATGAGAGAGAGAGAGATTGAAAAGCAGAGCGGGGCAGAAGGAGCCAGAGATGGGGCAGGAGCTTGCCAGGGTGCCTCTTACCTCTGCCCCCTCCCTGCTGAGATGCACCAGCACAGCAGAAGACTCGTGGATCTCACTCCCGTCGTACACCCCGCAGCCAGCCAGCACGACAGCCACTCTCTTCCCCATGGTCACAAACCAGAGCAGGAGGATTCCCTGGAGAGCCCCAAATTGCTGTGCATCTCTGTTCACTGCCTGGAGTCTTTTATAGCACGATCCCTCCCCCAGGAGCAGGTGGGGCCAGGAGGGTTGGGCTGAATTTCTTACTGGCAAGAAGGTTTTATTTCCAGTGCCACAGGCAGGGCATGTAAATATTATTTGTTTCCTCAACCAACTGCTCCCTTGCAGAACTTCTTCCCAGCACGTTGTCTCCAAAGCATCCCCAGCTGATGTGACCTGTTCTATGGAGCAGCTGTGTTTTTCCTTCTCGGCTGTCAATTTTCCATTCCATTTCAGACTAAAGTACCAAAGTCTTTGCACAGAAGATGTACCAAAGGGATCCTGCTCAGAGTGAGTGTTCAAGCCAGTGTGGTCCTCTCTGTGCCCTGTTTTTCTAAAACCCTACACTGCATAGGTAGCCTCAGTCTTTTAACACCAAGATTTAGTTTTCTGACCTTAAATGTTCTTATCCTTGTATCCCATCTCTCAAGAACAGATGTTTTGCACTCAATTGTAGTTGTTTCCTGGCCTTTGGGTCCTGGAGTTAGAAATTAATAACCTGATTCTTCATCGCAGAATCCCAGAGTGGCCTCGACTGGAAAAGCCCTTCAAGCTCATCGAGTCCAGCTTCTCTGGCCAACCTGGGACACTGTCTCACCACCCTCACACCAAAGAATTTCTTCCTCACATCTCATCTCCATCTCCCCTCTGCCACTTTCAAGCCATCACCCCTTGTCCTGTCACTCCCTGCCCTTGGCCAAAGTCCCTCCCCACCTTCCTGGAGCCCCTTCAGGTACTAGAAAGTAGCTAGAAGGTCTCCCCAGAGCCATCCTTGACCAGCCCAGTAATACTAGTGTGAAGCACTTTACACTGTTCTACATCTTTTATCTTGTCAAGAGGCTGAAAGTGGAATTTGCTTTAACTGAAGCTGATGGGAACAGGAGCTGGGTCCTTCTCAGGAATAGACCCTGCTCTGGTCCATTGCACACAAACAAAACAACGGGGGAATGTGCAGAAGTGCAGCAAGTGTTACCCTTGTTTTCTGTCAAAGCTCTGTTAGCTCTCACAGAACACTTCTCTGCCCAATTCCCACTTGATGTGTGACCCAACATGATCCTGAGGGCAGTGTCCACTGCTTCTGCAGCCCCTGCTCCATTGGTAAGGAACTTAATGCCCTGATCACCTCTTTTCCTTGGGAAGCAGCAGGAAGCTGTGAATGGATTCTTCATGTCACCTCGGGGATACAGTGGTGATCCAGGCAGTGCCTGGTGCTCACTCACCGCCTGCACAATTCTCCTGGAGAGCCAGCAAAGCTCCTCCGATGTTTATCCTGAACCTGATGGTGTCCAGTGTTTGCATCGACACCTCACTCTTGAAAACCACTTAGGAGGAGTTCCCTGAGAGTGTGGGCAGAGAGATGTGGAGTGACATGGGGACAGAAGTCACCTTTAAGGGAGTAGCACTGAATCTTCCCTGGGTTTGCCCAGTGCTGCCAGGCATTCATAGCTGTGACAGGGACAAACAGCAGGACCATGGCCAGTGTGAGGAGGAATAAGTGGTCCCCAAGGAGTTCCTGGGCTTGCAAAGTACTTGTTTGCTCCAGCAAGATGGTTTCTTTTTAAAAAAAAAAAACTTAATTTTAACCAGTGCAATTTCCTCACTGGCAGTAACAAAAAGGTAGTAATAGCAATAAACCCTCAGCGCTCTTTTTCAAGTGTCTTTTTTAACAAGGGTTAATCAACAGGAAAATTAACAGGCCCCTGGAGGGAGCTACCAGCAGCCCGTGCTGACTCACAGACCAGAATTTATTGCAGCAAAGAACTCGTTTGCATTTCCTCCCGCATGCGGAAAGGAACACTAACAGAAGATGTTTGTAGAGAAAAGGGGGTGGAGAGCAGGGAGGAACGCAGGCCAGTGGAGTTGCTTTGGTTATAAAGAGCTAGGGAGGAAAGAGAGGCAGCATTTCAGCCCACAGCTGGGTCTCCAGCGGACTCCGCGATGGCAGATAGAAAAGCTGAGTCACTGCATTCCTCCATAGGGCTCTTGGGCATTTCCGCAGGTAGGGATCTTCTTGGCATGGGAGGATGGGGTTGGGACTAGTTTTCATGGACAACCCCCTTTTCAAAGGGGGCTAAAGAGTTTCTTTATTCTGAACCTTCCCTGCCTGGGTAAAGCTTTTAGATCCTAAGATCCCTGTGCCTATTTCAGCAGCCAATAAAATATTTGTCTTGGCTTTACGTGCTGGCCTGAACTTTTGTACTCGATCCATCCTGGGTGGGAAGCAAATCAAAACTTTTTGGTAGTCATTTTCATAAATGATCTTTATTTGGATGCACTTTCCTCTCTTTTCCTTTTCTAGCCGTTTCCTCTGCACCTCTGTTTTCTGTGTTCGCTCCCTTTCATCTGCTCCTTCCTTAAGTTTCATCTTTCTGAGCGCTGCCCCTTCTCATTTTTCTGCTAGTTTTCTGTAAGCACAAGGCTTCTGTGATCACCTGTAGGGTGTGCGTGCACCCGGCTGCCTTTTGTGTAACTGGAAAGCTGATTTTTACCTTTATCTGACCACGGGGGAGCACTTTCAAACTTTTAAGTTCTTTTAAGTTCTTAAAGCTTTTAAGTTTTAAGCACTTTTAAGTTCAAGTTTCTTAAAAGTAGTCAGCCAGAAAGAGGTGAGACCTTGAACACAAGCCAAGCTTGAACAGACCCCTCTGGTTCCTTAGATTTCATTATTTCCAGATCTTGTACTGCTGTTTTTTCTCTCTTCCCTGCTCTGGTTCTCTCCTGTTTTTTTGGGCAAAGTTTACAAGCTCTTTCTTTTTTTCCACCTCCCTTGTCCCACGCAGGGTCGCTCTTACTGGCGGTGCATTTCTACAGCTTACCCAGGGCAGCTCCTCTGATCACCAGCACAGCTCTAGGAGTCCTTCTGTTGATTTTATCGACTCTTTTGGCATATGCAGGTAAGGTTCAGAGGATGGCCATCTCCAAGGCCTCTCCCTTCTACAGCTTTGCATATTTTTCCTATATAGGCAAACAAAGAAACCAGTGTTATTTTTGAACAAATGCTTTACCAGGATCTCTGAGAGTTTTAACAGTCTGAACACATGATTTATCTGAAAACAGTTCCTAGGCTTTCTGAGAGTACTTTAGGCATCCATGGATTGAAATGGCATGTTGATGTGCCAAGAGATCTACTTATCTGAGAGAAAACAATCACTGGCTTTAACAAAGTCCACACTTTTTAGAATGAATGCTGAGTTATTTCTCCTTTTAACTTGGAGTGATGAGGACATAAAAATCCACAATTTGATTCTGGTATTTTTACCTCTCCAAAGCAGACAGCTTGGGAGATCCTACATATTTTAACCCATAAAACATAGATCCACCTCTTCTCTCCATCAGTGGTGGCACAAAGAAAGCACTTAGAAGCAGCTGTTATTGATGGGACCGTATGGAGTGGACCAATGGGCAGGTGATGTTTCAGAGTTGGTGGGAATGAACAGCTTCCTACCAAGGGCAGAAATTTCTGTGCTCCCTCGTTCCAAGAGATGCATACTTGTGTGATTACAGTCCTCTGTAGCTTGGAGACTCATTCTGCAGAGCTGTTCCTTCCCTTCCCAACTTGAATCTGGCTCACAAAGCCATATTTTTTTGAGGAAGAAGTGAAGCATTGGTCCATTACAAAGCTCCAGCTTGGAGGGAAACTCTCAGGTCTGTCCATGCTGATCAGTATCCTCACATCGTGAGATGAGAAAGCACAGCAGTAAAAATAAGGTACTTTGTGATGTTGTTTGAGGGTAGTAGGTGGGTTCCATTCAACTTGAAGTATTTTAAATCAAGCTCTTTGTCATTTTGGGGATCAGGATACCAAACAGGATAGTTCTTGAGAAGGAATGAGTTTTGCAATTCCTATGCTTCTGTCATCTGAGAAGACCCAATTATTTATGGGGATCCAGCAGGTTGTATGACACTTCTGGTTCAAACACTGGACCTGACAGCTTACAGCACAAACAAAACAAGCCACCAGGCAACCCAAAAGAAGGAGATGTCAGGATTTGATTTGCATTAATGTATTATGGTCTTGTTATTGAGTCATGTAGGCATCACCAGGAAGATAAGACAATGGCTTGCTGAACCTCAACTTCATCAGGGCAAACTGCATGTCAGACCTGGTACAGTTGGAGGAACTCAAGTCCTTTGAGGTCACCTCAGGCATTCTGATGAACACAAAGTGTTGTGCTGATGGAGTCTTTATGGCCATGTCTACACAGTGTAATGGGACATAGTGCAGACCTACCCAAACTCGTGATAGCTCTGTCTGGCATCACGCAGGACCTGTGCAGCTCCATGCTACCATAGTGATCAGGCTTCCAACATACCATGTGCCTACAGCCCAGCTGCCTGTCCTTTCCATAACCTACTCTCTTGAAATCACAGTTCTGTCTCTGTTGTCATTTGTTTCACAGGAATTTGGAGAAGCCTAAGAAATGTCTCCCTGTTCTTGTCTCTCTGCCTGACCATCTCAGTCTTCTGGTGCGGCTATGGAGTGGTCTTCATCTTGGGAGGGCAAGGAATTTTGAACGACACTGGTGATTTCCATGATGCTTTGGTGCCTGGCCTGGTCACGTTTACTTTGGCACTGCTCATTATTGCAGTGGTGGGCTTCCTTTGCAGAGAGGTCATCCTAGCTATGGTTGCTTCTGCTGTCTCACTTGCCAGTGCTCATGAAGTTGCCATGCGTTATAGCCCAGCTTTTGGTTCCTCTGCTGTGGCTTGCAATTATCTGGTTGTCTGCTTGGTTGGTGGTTATTTTGCTCTGGGAAGGATTCTCTGTTTCCTAACCAAAGAGAAAATTGTCCTTCCTGGCACAGATCTGGCCAAGAAAAAGACCCATGAACAGATCCGAGCCACCAGTGGCAGCATGAATCACTTTGCAGTCACTGGTCTGATCCTGAACATGCTCTCTGCCAGTGTCTTTGGCTGTAGGCTTCTGGGCATCACTGGCAAATTATTC